TAGTAGTAGTAGTCTCTCTTCCGCCTCCGTCGAGCACAGACGTGTCTCAGACGCTCCTGCTTCTGACTGCTGCTATCTCCTGTTTTTGTCTTTTTTTCCTGGAGTTTTGCCACAGACAACTTTAACAGAATGGAAATGATTAACTGGTCCCTCAACGCAATTGATTCTATCTTTTCAACACGTAAGCGCGGGTCTGGAGAGCCCGTGTGCCCGGACGGGACCTCACCAGCGGGGTATACTCTTGACAGCTGGAACAAGTTTCAGCCCCTCTGTCTGTCGACCCTGTCCATTGAAGATTCAGAAGACGTATATATCTTTGGCATTTTGGTGGTGGGAATCCTCCTGTTTGGTTTTGGAGCTGTTCTCTTCTACCATAAATTCGGAGGCATGGCAGTTCGCAAGATTCACGACCTGCTGGCCGACAAAATTGATGGGATGTACAAGGAGCTTAGCCGCGTCGTGGTTGAGAGCGCTGTGTCTGGACAAAGGAGAGTGGTTTTGGTGGAACAGTTGGTAACCTCTTAAGCCCGATTGCGCCCCATTCGGGGTCCGCCCCCCCTTGCTGCAGCTTGTCCGGACCATAGCTGACAGATACATCAACTGACAATCACATGTTTCACATCCTCGTGTTCGGACAACTCTCAGCTACAACATTATCCACTTCAATTTCAGTTCAACAGACCCAGGTTCAAACAACAAACCACAATCTGACAAATCATCATAAAGCACATGTCGAAACAAATGTTTGCTTTGGCGTCACAAGCGCCCTCAAAACAATAAGTAGCCCTGCTGTCAGCACACCATTAGAAAGCCCTCTCCGAGCTGAACACAACGCTATGAGGCTGGTAACGCTACCTCTAACACTCGCTGACCAAGCCGCAGACGAATGCCAGAAAACAAAGCCGTAAAACATCAGCGTTGAAGTAAAAGTCGACTTACTTTTGCTGTTTTTTCATCACAAGTCATTTCCATAGGAATAAAAGTCAGTTTTTTCTTGTATTCAACCTCATAGCGAGGCTTTCTAGCGACCTGGCAGATACCAGTTACTTCCTCCTTCTGTAAGAGGCCCTTTGTGATAGGCTGCACCCGTGCGTCATGTCACGTACCTCTGTGTATCTCTTCCTGTGATTGGCCACAGGTGCTGTCCATCAATACGTTTTCAATGGTTTTTGATAGCCGAAGGTGTGTTCTTTCCAAAATGGTATGACATGCCCTGATTGGCCAAAGTACCGCGGAGGCGTGTACATGCGTATAGTTGGGGCAGAAGGAGGCTGTGCGCAAAGCCTTTACGCACAGCAGGTACTCGGAATTTTGACAAAATTAAAAATGGCAAAACAGCGTTATACACGCGAGGAGATTGTAGAGCTTCTTGCTAGGGAACCGGGTGCCAAAGTTTATCTCGATGACTCTACAGACATGTTTGTGCCATTTGGCACAATTTTGGCACAGTTGGATTCCGCCTGGACTTTTTTTCCAATTCCATGTACAACTCTGCAGTGGTTTGTTTATTTGGCACAATTTTTGCTGGACTGGTCCAAAATATCGGGAACTGTCAATTTTAGTTCTTATTTGCTACACCACAGACAGGGAAAAAGCTTTTTTGAGGGAAAATATGTGTTTTTTTTTTAGGCGGAAGTTAGAATTGTCTGTTTCAACCTAATTTTATTGGCAACCAATACAATTTATCATCTTTTTTCACTTCCACAGCAATCCCCAAGGTCCACCAGGTAATTTGGTACCAAGTTTGGCCACATATCTGGCTAAATACTATATGAAACCTTAGTAAATTTAGATTATAGCTTTTTCGGGAAAAAAGGCCTCTGGGCTTAAAGACCTCGCAGCTCGTTCACTCGATGGACATAAGACTCTGGAGTTGAGATTGAATGACATCGTGTGTCAGGCTTGAACTCTCTGACCCGGCTTGGATCTGCCCCTGTGTACGGGGTCTGAGGGCGCCGCAATTCGGTTTAATTGGATTTAATAGAATATCTGCCTGTTTTTGACTGCTACATTGCATTAATATTGTCCCCCTGAGGCGATGTGTTTTTCTCCAGCTGTGTCTTCTCTCCACTCTTATCTCACATTTCTCGGCCAAGGCCATAATAACAAGTCCGGACTATCTACAACAACTCACACTATTCTTCAGTCTCCAGCTCGGATCCCGTTACCCCGCCTCCCTCTATCCATCTTGCTCCCTCCCTCCCCTCCACTCCTCATTGTGTTTCCGGCTCACCCCCTCCCTGACCCCGCCCCCCTCTGACAGCCACATTGGGCGGCTGTAGGAGGTGTTTCGTCCCGAGAAAAAAATCCGTGCTTTATACAAAGCACAATGTGTCTATCCAACTGTTTGTGAAACTGTATGTTATTGCTCTCTGCTGTTTATTCTACTGTTTGTCGCATGGCGCCGTAAAGATGGCGCCGTGGCAAGAGCTCTGGTGTGTGTCGTCTCCTCTGTCTGGTGCACACCGGGGTAGTCTTGCACAGTTTTTCCAATGTGGTTTTACTGCAAATGGCAAATAAATGAATCTGAATCTGAGTAGTAGCAGTAGTAGTAGCA